TACGGCTGTGTGTATGTCTATGGTATATGTATTTCTTAGAGTGTGGGCTATACTTACTTGACAATTGTTCCCAGGATGTGTATTCAGGTGAAGTACGGCTGTGTGTATGTCCATAGTATATGTAGTTGTTAGAGTGTGGGCTATACTTACTTGACAACTGTTCCCAGGATGTGTATTCAGGTGAAGAACGGCTGTGTGTATGTGTAAAATATAGTCCATGTGTGTACGTGTACAAGAGATTGTTTACTGACATCCAATCATTTCTTAGTCACATTTTGTTCAAGCCTGTATCCGTATGTTGCGACGGAAACCCGATGCCTTTATCCCACAGAACCTGCATCTATATAGTTAATAGTTTACGTTATCTCCACTTTCAAGTCACTCAATAGTTCACTTCATCTCTATAGGATTAGTCACTCAGCAGTTTGCGTTATCTCCACTATCAGTCACTCAGTAGTCCACTTCATCTCTATAGGATTAGTCACTCAACAGTTTACGTTATCTCCACTATCAGTCACTCAGTAGTTCACTTCATCTCTATAGGATTAGTCACACAACAGTTTACGTTATCTCCACTATCAGTCACTCATCAGTTCACTTCATCTCTCTCTGCACAGGTGGACTGGAGCGGTCTCAGGCACCATCTGTGTGTTCATCCTACCCATCGGAGTGTGGTTGTCAGTGCAGAAGAGGAGAAACCAACTCACCAAGATGTCCTTTGTGGGTCACGGCGTCCTTGTACTGCTCGCTGTGATGAACTTCGTCGCTCAGTTTTTTGTATAGTATACCCTTAGGATCCGTGGTATATATGCATCTGGCTTTGAATTCGCAGGTGTATGTATGTATGTATGTGAGCTGCCTGGAGACGGCTGAATACACACATACATACACGTGACGGCGAGGGGTGTGTGTGCTTGGAAGGAGGTGGGATTTGTAGCTGTATCGGACAAGGGCGCCGGCGGATGCAAACGCCTCCAAATCTCATCCGACGTTTGAATTGATCTGCAAAGAGAAGACGTGAATTGAATAAAGATAGTTGTGTTGAATAAAAAATGTTTGATTTCGATAAAAACAGGTGTGTTGTATTGAATAAATGTATTTCGCTGTTGTGAAGAAGAATGGTGTTCAGTTGAAATGTGGTACATATATATCGTTTGTATCAAGAGACCTAAATATATCCCTTGGTTTGAATGATCGGCAAGAGGACATATAAGAAACAATTGAAATAACTATAGTTGATTTCGGTGGGAATCGGACACGAACATTGGGCCCTTGCGCTATACTGCGTGTACTGTTCTTAGCAGACACACTCCTTCTCACTAAACGGGACACCGTGATCAAGTCTCACTTAAATATGTCGATATCACTTCTGTATAGCATTGTATTTCACACAAGTGTAGTTTTGATTCGTTTGGTGTGAGTCTCACTTGAATAGTTGTACTTCTGTAAAGCGTTGTATTTCACACACATGTAGTTTCGAATCATTTAGTGTGAGTTTCACTTAAAAAGTCGATGTCACTTCTGTAAAGCATTGTATTTCACATAAGTGTGGTTTTGATTCGTTTGGTGTGAGGCAGTATACACCATGGCACCTGCGGATATTTTTCTGGGACCGGGCAGGGTCACATGACACCTGCCGATTACGGTAGGTTCCAGTCAAGTGACCTAAAACACTTGCACCAAGCTTTAGGACATTTCTTTATTAAGGCTATGGCTGAGTCAGTGCCAGTAGGTGCTTCGTACTGCAACACAACTCAGATGGTCAATTTTGTACAAACATAAAACTAATAAGATTACTGAAACAATTTGAATGTTTTGTTTTATTTTAAAATATGTAGTGAGTTTTAGGTACGCTCGAACTCAGATCAATGAAACCGTCGCCATCCTGTTTAGTCCCCTCAGCCGGGTTTTATTTTCATTTCTACGTCTCTCCCTCACTCACTCACTCACACACACATACTTACGTATACACAAA